TGTGCGCATTTATGCAACACATTTGTTTCACATTTCTTACTCTGTCTCTCCTCTCGTTCTCGTGTTCAAAGAACTGGAGCTGTTGTCTTCACGTCTGCATAGTATATTACGCACGCAGGCGAGTCTTCTTACGCCCAAATTCCTAAATTTAGTGTTTGTTTTTGTTTGTTTCTGTGTTTCAGCGTACCGCCGTGACTCCGTTTATACAGACTACGGGGACGTGGAAAATCCTGTCTTGCAGGAGGTCCGCCCCTGTGCGCCCCTTTAGGCCCCACGCATGTCGCGTACGCAGCCTGAACGCACTTGCTTTTACCGCCCTGCTGGCGCTCATAATCTATCTACCTACCTCTCAGCAATCTTTCCTCACCCGCTATTCGCAATTCATTCAAGTAATGAAATTTCTCGGTACCGTGCCTAACGCACCCTGCCCATAAATTGCGCTCAGCGATATCTGGAGCACGGACGGAGACATCTACGCACGCACGCAAGGACCACCAGCTGGTTCGAGGCGTGTTCTGGGCATTTATAGAAGCGAAGCAGCCCAGCGACTTTGCTAAATGGCGCCATAACTCTGCTGTACTGGCCCGTGCCATAGATATAGTTAGCCTGTTTTCTGCACCACTCGACTATGGCTCCGATTACTCTGCTGTTTCTTTTTTACTCTCCACTGAGAAAACGCAGCTCTTATCAGACTTTAGTTGAGTATAGCGAGGTCTAGAATCGGCGCATCAATAGATGATGCAAGCGCGTTCACTGTGAAGTCGTGTGTTCTGTGACTCCTGGAGCTTGAGAGACCAGCTGCGTGCATACGCACACGTGCAGAAACTTGAGACAGAGGTTGTATAGGTTCGTATGATGGGCGCGATTAACCCATATTCCTCTATACATCACGTTGAAAAAATAGGGTGTGAGCATAAAAGTGTGGACGAATGAGCAATGCTGGTGAGACAAATGTTTCGATTAGTTCATTCCTAAAGGCGGAAACGAAGTTCGCAATGATGGATCCACCTTGTCGAAACGCCGGTATAAGTGAACGCCTTTTTTCACCGATTGCAGTCTATCTACGCCACAACATAATGCAGATAAATTGTGAAAATATACCGACAATTCATTCATTCACCAAAGCTTGAGCACATTTTTTTTCGGCGTGTTACGAACTATCTGGATACTTACCAACTCCACTTTCTGTCATGAGTCGGAGCTTTCTTTGTCTATGTGACAAGTGACCAGTATTGGCCCTTAATCTACGATACCACTAAACTTTGAGAGAGCTATCACTATTCATAATGACAAAGGGTGAAAGACACCTCTTACACCCCTCAACATCTTTCAAATTCTTGGGTACGCCGACACCACGAAGAATCATCTCAGTTACATCTATTTAATCAGGCCGGTAGATGGAAAAAAAGTGCTATTTTTCTACCACTTTTCTTGGGGCACGTTTCAGCGCATGTATACGACTTGCTTTGTCCGACCTCGCTTTCGCTTTCAAGTTTTCTTCTTGCCTCCCTTAAGTCGTTACTCGGCGAAAGAAAGGCCGCAGAGCTGGGAGCATGCTGAACACTGAGGACGCTGTGACCGCTACATCGGCTTAATGGCCTTGATACAATAGGTATCCCTCATGCTGCTGCTGTTGCCGCAGACACCGTCACCGCTCAGTGTACCACTGTTTCGCCTTGAGCTCATTCTACCCAGTCTGCTATCTTTGTTTTTCGTTATGTTTCCTTTTATCTTCCTTTTCAGCGCCGTAACGTCGTCACGAGTAGCACTTCCAATTTCGTCGCAGCTCGCTGAGATGCACGTGCACTCCGGCACCTTAGGCGATGCTAACTCCAGGATTAGAATGACCGTCTCATGCGTCGAAGAGCGCTGTTTGTGGAGGGGACCCGGTCATTGGCCTGTAATGCACGCCGTCTGCCATTTAAGAATGTGGGTCGAGAGTTTGACACGGGACGGGTAATTTGAGAACAATGAGGTTCTTACATGAGCTAGCGAGAATCAGTTTTTCTTTTTCCTTCTTTACACCAGGAAGACTCAACCCCGTACTCAGAAACGCCTCTTGTTTTGAACTTTACTTACCACCGTCTTCAATGCAACACATTTCAAACGTGTTTGTGCTGCATTGAAGGTGATGGAAAGTGAAGTCAAGGAGCGTGTCTGAATACGAGGGTCATTGTTGCCAACCCTATAGCGTTCAAGTTCAGCATTGAGCACTGGGGTACACGGGGCGCTGTATGTCTATAGGACTATGAGCAACGTTTAACTGCCGCATTTTGAAGCAGAACGTTACCAGCTTCCGCGTTTGTCAGAATTACACCAGCTATAGGTATCAAGAAAAACCGAGAAAGGTACCGATCGCACGAATACCTTGCGTCACAAGTACGTCCCTGAGGAGGAAGGAGGAGGAGGAAAGTTTAAGTGGAAGGACAGGAAGGTTAGCCAGTTTTTAGACCGTCTGGCTACCCTGTGCTGGAGAAAGGGGTGAGCGGAATAAAAGATAATAAAAAGAAATGTTGCGAAGAGAGAGCGAGAGAAATTACAAAAAAAAAAGCGACAGAGGAAAGGCAACATTAAAGAGTATAAGACACTAAAGTCTGTCTCTGAGGCCAATTGTCTGCAAAAAGCACAGCGAACATTTCGCTAGATATACTAGTGTGGTACCCTGCTAAACTTGAAGCAAGATATAAAAAGTATTAGAGCGGTTCGCCACTAAGTTAAAACTGCATCATTGTTTCTTTTGTTAACTTTTTGCCAGTAGATTGCGTCAGGCGCCCTTGTTCGTGCGGCATAATTATTCAGCTTTTCCTCTCGATTTTTGTAGCTCTGAAATTTTTGGCGAAACACTCCAGCTCTCTTTGCTCAAGTTCCTGTTGTTCAAAACATAACGGGAGAGAACAGCTCACAAGGGACATTGAAAGTAATAAATACAGATGATAGAATCCAGCTGATTTCTAGTGGCTCTGAAGAAGGCCTTCAAACTGCAAGCAAAAGTGAACTTTGCTCTCCATTTCCTGAAGAGAAATCATATTCCTTCATTCGTAGACTAATGTCTCACGCAAATATACAGACATACACACACAAACGCAAGTGCTTATACGCGTAAGAATGTTATGGCTTTTTATTAGATGCTTCATAAAAGAAACTGTACACATCTTTCATATGAACTAATGCGTTTCCTTGTGCGACAGTTCATTTCCACAGATGAATCAAGGAGTACAGACTGTTCTCGCAGCTTTCTCGGTCTCCTCATACTACAACAAAATGATATGACGCAAAGCACCACCGAATAATCGGCGAAATGAAAGAGCGTTCTTTCCTTTCACTGGGGGTTTGCGTCGTCTAATTTTCTTGTAACATGCACCAACTTGCCTAACAACAAGTTTTAATAAAGTATATTTCCTCATACTACGCAGGCTACGTGAAATTTGATTAAAATGTTCCGGCGTTATCGAATATGTGCATTGAAACGTTTGTGAGTGTGTATTCGGGGAATAAGTTCTGTGAGACCAATTCCAATAAGCGAAGTCGTCCTTTGTAAACAATAATAAATATTTCAGTGACGTGAGCAGCATAGAAATAGCCGCTATCTCGATATTGAAGCAAGTTTCTTCTTTTTCACTCATAGATAACGAAAAGAAGGTGGTAGATTGACATCAAGAAAAGAAAGTTGTGAAAACTGTATGAGAATAAAACGGGTGGTCTCAATGAAAAACGCACGAGCTGCCCTGACTACTTCAAAGCGAAGTCCCTTTCCAGGACTTCGCCGAAGTGGTCTTCTCTTTCTCTTCCTCGGCATGCGAAGTTTCAGCTTTTCTCGCTGGAAGAGCTGACTCGCATATAGAAGGACTTGAAGTCAAGGTGTCACTCACGCGGTTTAGATCAAGACTGTGCTCACGCACTCAATCACTCCTTCTCTGGACAATGAGTGTGGTTCACAAATGGATCTTAGTTGATGTTAATTGAAACTAAGAATTCTGCAACATTGTCTTTCTTTGCGGATCTGAGGAAGCGACGCTTGCTTTGTAGATAATCAATTATTTATATTTATAGACACCTTTTGTTCACAGTTTTTTTTAATTACAAGCAGTTTACGTAGAGTTATGCAAATGTATAGGCTAACTTTAGCTTCATTTATTGAAGTGAAGAAGTATGACTATGTGTGTTGTAGTTAAACCTTTTCGATGTCATACTCGGCTTCCGCAGCTTAGTGCGTGAAGTCCGTAGCTAATGTATGGTTTATGCAATGGAAATGTACACTGTGACGCTGAAGTTAAAACATTAGCATCAGAGTTATTTAGGCATCATATATTCCCCAGTACAAGTATTCTGTGCGATTTCATACTTAAAGAAGTGGCAGCTCTTCGTCATGCTTTCGGCGCATAAGCTTTAATTCATTCATAGTTTTCTAAAGAGTGACAGTAAGAAAAACTCTGAAGAATCACGATCAGATAGCATTGGATGCTGTTTTACCATTCACTCTGATGTTAGCTCTTACTGTACAGTATACTTTTGCTCTGGCACACCTTCATTTTGTGGCAGATGAATGTTTCACTGCACAGGTGAACCATGCCAAACTAAGCATGTGGAACACTTGTGGGCTGAAGTTGTTAGTGCGAAAGTGCGACGATGTATCTCTACACTGTTCAATAAACAGTCATTGCTAGAGTGAACACATATCATTTAAAGAATATCTGACGAGACAGATTAAAAAAAAAAAGCAAACTTCCACTGAAGCGCATGCAGAACAGTTCTGCATACACTTCTCGTCATGACATGGTCAATTCAACGATGGCATCGCGGTATACAGTCGCACATCGAGCGGCGGGCTCGTCCAGTTTTGGTTCAGCACTTGGCTCGGCGAAAAATAAAGATAGCGACGGCACAAACAAACAACACAGAAACTTCTGTTCCTTTCCTTGCATCGTTGGGCGTGTGACACTCTCACTGCACGGCAAATATTTGTTTTTCATTAGAGAGAAGGTGGAGGGCGGTACACGTTTTCACACTTCACTGGAGGGACATCCGCTCTCGGGGTCCAACGAGAGGCCCTCGTTCAGTTTGCATAGCTGGTCCTCGACCGCACCCCCGTTGGCGTTCGCGTATGCGGCGCCACCGTTGTAGTAGCCCGAAAGAGCGTCGGCCGCCGCCAGTTCGCTGGGCGATGGCCCGTACGACACTCGCAGGGGCCTCGCTTGACTGCTCGGTGGCGCCGAAAAGCGATGCACGTGGCTCGAGTAAGGGGGAGGGTGCGTAGGTCGCGGCATCAACGGCGGCTTGGTGGGTTTCGGGTGCGTCGGCGGCGGTGTCGTCGTCGTTGTCGCAGCCTGAGCTGTCGACGACAAGTCACCGTTGCCAGCGGGTGAGGGCGACGGCCGCAGGCCCTCTCCGCACGTTCCGTTGGTCGTGACGGGCGGCGACGGCGAGTGGTTCGGGCTGCTGACCTCTTCCTTCTCCTTCTCTTCGTCCTGAAAGTCTTCTTTCTTGTAGGTCGCCGTGAGGTCCCCGTGGCTCTTGAAATGCCTGACCGCACCCGGAGACGACGCCTGGTCCGCGGGACTCCTGCAGATCCCGCGGTCGCCTCGACTTTCCGCGGTTGGCGACGGTTGTTGATGGTGAACTAGCAGCGTCGACGGGCTCGTTCTTTCTCCTCCGTTGAGGTCCCACAGCGGGTACTTGGGCTTCGCCCCGAGTTTCTCAAAGTCTGGCCTGCCGCCGCACCCCAACCGGTTCGCAAGGTGCGCAGGAGGCGGTGGCAAACCTACTTCGTTGCCAAAGAGTCCCGATGGTGGAGGCACCTGAGGCAGGCGCCCATTCGCGACTCGGTCATTGGTCACGGCTGCCAGTTCCTCCTCTTCGTCAATGCCATCGGCGCCGTTGAGGTCTCGCAGGACTTCCTCCGACTTTGCCCTAGCGACTCCGTTGCCGTAAAAACCGTTCAGCCTGGTCCGTCTAGACCAGTGCGGCGGAACTTCGCTAAACCTGTTCTTGCAGTCAGAACTCTGGCCCAGGGGACTGCAGCGGTAGTCGACCTGCGCGACGCGTTCCCGCACGTAGCTCTGCAGCTCGCTGCGGAGCTCGGCGTGCTGAGTCTCCTGTCTCCGCTCTCGTTCGAGGCGCTCGCGAAGCGCGGCACGCTCCACCCGCTCCTGGCACTCCGTCTTTTCAGCAGCTAGTTTCTCCCGCACCGATTGGTTCAGGTTAAACAGCTGGTTGCGCGTCTTGCGCTCCAGGTGCGCGATCTTGGCGTTCAGGTCTTCGTGCGCGTGGTCTATGTGGTCAATGAGTTCCTGCTTGTCGGCCTCCAGCTTCTTCTCCACGTTGTGGAAGAAGGGCGCGCAGTAGCACGTGTAGCCTTTCCCGACAGGTCCCTGCGCAGGTTCAGAAAAACAAATCGGGAGTTTACTGAAGATGCAGGCCATGATGTTCAACTCTTAAATCCAGCGATTGCGTCGTTATAATGAGGCTTACTTTAATGATGGTAGTCATTGAAATGATCACTGTGAATATAGCGTACCGCATTAAACTATCCCTACTCGTATGAAATCAAACTGACATCATTTATGAGACTGCAAATTGGCATCCGATGGAGTGTATAACAAGGGAAAAACCACTCACACTTCTTTTTTTTTCATTCTATTCTACTGCTGTATAACAACCAAACGTTTTTTTTTTTTTGCAGTTAAGACTGCTGTCTTTCACATCTCATTTCTGTCTTTCTTACACAACTAGCGTTCAGTCTGCTGTCAAATTAATGATAGCGCCATCCTTTATTGAAACTACCTTCACTCGTTGAAGACTTCCGGAGAACCGATTCATCACCGACGTAATGTCGCTTTAGCGTAAATATGTCAACGTGGACCACGGTATAGGCTTGCCATGAGAAGCCAATCACATGTTGCTCATCAGAAAATTATTAATAAAATGTAGTCATGAATTTATTATTTGACACAATATTAAAACGAGAGCATTTGAAATTATCTTTAATTTTACCAGACATGAGATTCGATTTCTTTTGTGACATCTAGAAGCAGCTCGTTCCTGTCCAGATGAAAGGCGTCGCTGTCATACCTTGCGTATGTTTCCTGCTAGATCGAGGAAATACTGTTCTCCTTTGCTCAAGGGTTCCGCGGGCAGCGTCTCTAGCTTGGGGGCCGGAAAGGAGCTGAGATTTGGCGTCTGGTGACAGCCGTACGGACTGAGCTTTCCTTTCTTGTCCTTCTTCTCGTCGTCGAAGTGAACCTTGTGGCCGTGCTTGCTCTGAAAAACGAAGGGACCAATTAAGTACAAGTACTCGCTCTAGGTGGACGCTTCAAATGAAATTAGCACGAGTAATGAATGCGTGAGTAGCATTAAAGATTACAGCCCAATAATGTATCTTCAAATATTAACTATATTTTATGCTCGTCAGTGAAGCACAACTTGCTGTAAAACAGCTACCGCACAAGGACGTCTCGAGGGGCTCGTTGAATAATTCTGGGCAGGAAAAATAGGACACATCAGCAGATGGAGCGCAAGCTGCCAATTCTTTTATTGACCAATCAATAAACCTTCCGAACACAAGACAAGTGCGCAGTTTTGTTAGGAAGGTCCGTTTAAATGACGATCTGTGGTCAACAAAACAGGCGGTAGTTCGCGCTCAATCTGTTCGTATGTCTTCTTTGTCGTGTCCCTTTCAAGTTTTGAACAGTTATTTTCCTGGATAGCTACTATACCCCGCTGGTGCGCTTGAATGGAAACACTGGGGATTACTGAACAAGTGGTTGTAAAGGAAACAGAAAATGAATAAGCAAAACGCTCTCTTTTGTGAGGATTAAGAGTGAATGAAGCGTGCCCTTGTGCTTACACAAGAGCACACTTTAATGCCGCTCACTCTAAATGAGATATCCTGAATATATTTCACGTCCTTGTGCCCGACTTTTTATGAGAGAAAAGTTGAAGAAAACGCTTTTGCAATTAGTTTTAAGCGTATACAAACAACTCTCAAAAATTTTTCCGAGCTCCTTAGTATTCGAGCGCTTTTCATAGACCACGTATATTGCTAGTTAACTTCAACTATAATGAGAGTGTATTGCCACTGGTATTGCTGACCTTTCTTTAGGCGGAAACTCACTGTTTCTTTATGTAAGCGCCGAGGTATTGTGAAGTGCAGCTGGGGACACGGTTGAATCGAGATAGGGGTGCACCCCCATTCTTACATTTATTTAGCGCATGAGCTGGATATGAGCGCTCCGCCTTAGGTATCACTTTTGGATATCAGCCATACTGAGCCTTAGATATCAACCAGAATTCCCTTTCCCTGGACGCACCGCGGTTTCTACAAGTGTTCTCTCACCTTCTTGTGCTTTTCCTTGGTGCGGCCCTTGTTGTGCGAGCTGTCCCTGCTGCCCTGCGAGGTGCCACTCTCTTTCTCTCGTTTCTTGCCTCCTTCTACCGGCCTTTCGAGCGGCGAGGAGGACGAGTCCAGCTGGATGACTTGCGGCGGCGGATGCTCGATCAGGTCGGCCACCTCGTTGAACTCCTTGCGCCGAGCGATGTCCAGCGCTGTCTCCCCTTGCTGCAAGACGAGGACGTCACAAAATTTCCACGTGATAACCGCACGAACGTTGATGACCATTAACAGAGGAGGCGCTCGAATGCAATTTATTGATAAATCGAAACTTTGACTGATGTATTAAATCTCACATAAAGCATTATCATCAATCGGTATTTTTAGCTACATCATTTTTGCAATTTTCTGTCTGGCCAGAAAATTAGTGCGAAAAATGACTGCTACAGTTATAATGTGCCACTTAAGAGGTATTTCACACGTGACTTATTGGGGCTGGGACATCATCTTATAGCGACACTGTATGTTACGCGTGGAGAATTCATTTGCGTGAATACTTGTGTTTTCTAAACTTTTTTAGTGAGTGGACACATTTTTGTATTGAGTAACTGATACTGAGTGTACGAGCGTTCTACTACATGCTGCATAATCTTGCGTTTGTTGTTTACTTTGCGACGACCACTATTATACAAGACAAGAGAAGTAGCCAGTGCCAAACATTGGCACTAACCTCTTTCTATATACATTGAATAACAAAGAAGACAACTTTTATAGCAGTAGGATAGGTGACTTATTCGCCGTGTTGTGTAAGCATCTCCCATGAAGAACGGTGGGCGCAGGCGCCACCACCATCATCATCATAATCGTAATCATAATCTGATCTTGCAGTCTACTTCAAGACGAAGGCCTTTCTCAACGATCTGCAATCTAAGCTGTCGTGCGCAGTTCCATTTTATACCTCAAAGTTTCTTGAATTCGTCGCTCCACCTGACGCCTCATGGCCATCGGCTGTGCGACCCATCTTTCTGTATTCACTCTGACACTCCAAATGGGGATCCTGAACTCACAGCAGCTGGCGGGCCAGTTACGAAATTTGGTTCCGCAAGGACCAGTACCGTGATGGAGCAAGAGGGTGGCGGTGAATAAACAATACCTTAAGCTGCCATACGAAAGGTAACATCCTAAACCTCATATATGGATCATTTCTGAAGAAAATTTGGCGTCCGGATGCGAAGAACAACGCGTCGATTCTTATCTCTAGAGACGCCTCAAATCTGGACGCCAACTGTGAAATGTGGGAACGTATTAAGTTATGTTTTCACACGTGGTAGCCTTAAAGTGTATCTCACGGGGAAAATAATACTGGTCGCTGTAGCTTACCCAAACAAAGCGTTATTAGTAACAGTGGGCGAGTAAACTAGGGAAATGCCATTCATAACACAGGCAGAAACATTTTATTCGTGGTGAAGGCGCGAGCCATGTGTTTGAGACGCCTGTTCTGTTTGGTCATCGATCTTTCTATTTCCCAGAGTTACACTGCTCCCTTTTCATCCTGTTATCATTTTTCTTCACATATCATGTCTCACCATCAGACTCATCGTTAAAGAAAAACATTCCATGGAGAGGACTGTAGGGTTACATGAACAATTTATTGGTCAGCCTAAAAAAAAAAAGCAGTTTTCGGAGCTGAATTTGGTAAATAAGAACCTACTGTATCAGAAAGTAGAAGATACAAACTATCATATAGAAGTGCAATAATTTGGACATGCGCAACACAATTACGAATAAATATGAAGAAGTGTACACTTTGAGCCAGTAAAAAACTACGTTAAGCCGAACACTGTCCTTTCCGTAATATTGGGAACATAAACTGTTCGAAGACATTGCTGTGGCTGCTTTCAGCAAAACCTATAGACGTGTGCAGCAGGTAGTATAACTATCAATACGTAAGATAAGTTAGTGTAAGAGTTATTGTCCTTTTGTTGCTGTTTTCTCAGGAGCTTTAATATCGCAGGATGACAAATCTTTCTGCTAGAATGAAATATAATGTTTCAGAATAAAAGCAGCGCCATGACATTGCATGGTAACTAGGTTTCATCAAAGCATATTACTTGAAGGATATTTGTTTCTTTAGGACGCAACTTCTAGTTCCCGTATTTAGAAACAAATGCCGAAGTTTGGCTTTCTTTGTTGCAAAACCTAACCACTCCGGGACTGGATTCATACGTGCATGATTAAAAAAAACTACTCTGTGCAAATTCACCATAGAATGGAATGACGTCGATAACATATAGCTTACCTTGTTGACAATTGTTGGGTCGCAACCGGCCTCCAGGAGTATCCTTGTCAATTTTCGACGACCCATCGCTGCCGTGATGTGTAGGCCGCTGTCTCCATTCTAGAAGCACAAACACAAGAGACGACGGAATTGCGAAGCTTCAGACATTTAGTACAATCTTTCAAATACGACTGAAACTTTCGTAACTGCCACACCCTTGTTCTCTTAACTTCATTGTGCTGCGACATTGATGAAGTTGGTAATAGTATTAATTGGTGGGGTTTAACGATCAAAAACCACAACATGATTACGAGAGACGCCGTAGTGGAGGGCTCCGGAAATTTCGACCTCTTTGGTTCTTTGGCGCCCACCTAAATATAGGTACACGGGCCTGGGGCATCCTCGTCTCCATCGAAAATGCGGCGCCCCGCCGAGGTTCGATCCCGTGACCTGCAGGTCAGAAGTCGAACGCCTGAACCACCGGACTACAGTGCCGGGTGGTAAAGTTGTTCACTCGTTTTACCGGTACGTGATAAAATGTTGGCCGGTGCATCGACTAGACGAGTAAGCGACAATACTGCAATACTTTACGGAGTGTGCTCCGTAAAGCCTGACTGAACGTGCGCGCTATCCCACAGCCACTGTTTCTTGCTGCTTTTTTTTATTCATTACGACGTACAGTTCCACAAGGATAAGTATGTTCACTGCCTTCCCCTCCCTCTCGCTCATTATTCTACATCCCCTTTCCATTCACCTGGATCAGTATAGCACACAGGAAGCTTTTTTGTGTTTCTCATTCGTCATACGGCTTCGCTAATGAAATGTCAAGTTTCTCGATTGGCGGAAATATTGTCTTACAGAAAATTTCGGCGTGGCATGTTTTTGTGAATATGGGCCCTGTTTCCTTCCTACAACGACGCTGAATGTCTTCTCTGTTACCACCGCATGACTTATGTTTCACCGGTGAAGAGATTTAGTTTCTTTAAAAAAAAAAAACATGCGTTGCTCAATTTTTTAACTGTCGCCGACATGTTCAGTTTTCAACCAGTGGGATGGAGTCGACAAGCGTGTCGGAACAGTAAGAGTGGTCTATATTTACAAAGTGAATGAAGCATCGCATCTTTCTGCGCTGCTGAGCGTTCGAATCGGTCGACCGCTTTCGCGAGCAACTGAGTGACAGGAAAGGCAAGAAGGCGGTGTAATTACAAAGTGAAGCCTTTGTTTGCACGAAGGCAATTATGTATGGGATGGCAGGTGAAGCACAAACATAAATGAGGGCGCGGTGGCCAGGTGTATCACCTTGTTCACTTCGCTGGCGTTGCAGAACGCGCTGATGAGTATCCGAAGCACTCCGGCGTGACCGTAGCGGGAGGCCGTGTGCAGCGGGGTGTCACCGTACTGGAAAATTAAAAATAAAACAGAGAACAAGATAAAACGCTGTTCCGCCCTAAATAATTTCTTTCTTACGCCGGAAGCGTTGAATCATTCCGATGGGGTGGTCAGAAGTGACTAGAAGTGCCCTACAGATTACATTTTTTTCATCAAGCCCTAGGCGCGGCAGACCTTGGCATGAGCGTAAACACTATATATAGCACACTATATATAGCACACTATATACTCATTGCTTGACGTTGCGGCATAATCGTTGCGTGTTCCCGACAATTATTTGAAAACGGCATGCAGTAACGGTTGATTTATGACAATGTATTTTATGCATTAGAGGGTTCATTTTTTTCCTTGCTTTCTCTTCTTACTTTTTCTTCTCTTTTGCTGATTCGACGAGGTTTTCTTACAGCTACAGCGCTATAGAGTGATTGAGAGGGATCGCCTGGGCACAGCGTGGCGAGGACCGTCGCAGAAAATGTACTGGGAGGTCTCCTCGGAACCGCTGCTGTCGCAAAGAGCGTAGTCGGCCGTGCATATCCGTAACGAATATTGCTCTGTGAAAGCCAGTCTTTGTGTGTTGAAAAAAGTTCTTAACAATTTAGAGTACTTGGTACTCTACTATGAAAGAGCGAAAAGCCACTCCGTGGTTACCAATTTATACTGCCTCCTACACAACGCTCTCTCTCAGTCATAAACCCGGAATAAAGCCTGCTGCTAAGGAATGAATACCCTGACAAGGACCCAAGGATAGCGCTCAAAGTGCGTCCTTCTGATACTAGATTTCTTTAGTAAGCATCAAATTAAAGGCAAGTTTTATTGGACATTAAATTACCATTACTCGTCTCTGTAGGTCATTTATTCATAAACAACTACCTTTTATTTATGATTAACGTGCGCGGGCTTCCTTCCTCAATTGAAAAGGGTGCGCGCGTGCCGCTCCTCTAGTGCGGGCCTACTGTAGGTGGCTACCTACTACTACGACGACACTGCATGCATGGCGGATGCACGACCCACGGCTTAAGGAACTTCGCCCCCAAAAGTGGATAAAGAGTACCTGGTACTTTACTATGGGCTCATAATTGATGAGGCCGCATCGACAAAAAAAAAGAAAAACAGCTTCCCTCGGGGGAACACTGAGGAGGATGCGGAGCATATAATTGGTTAACGGGGTGTTAAAGTGCGACTTACTTGGGTCGATGGCTAAATTGGTTAACGTGGTTGTAGGTGGGGGTGTTAAATGAGTGAACACGTATGCGAAAGGGCGGCGCTGGTCGAAGGGACGTCGATCATTGTGTTTGTGGATTCGTTGGAATTCATTTCACCGCGACCTTGGACGTCGACGCGCCGTACAAACCAACCGACGAGCGGCAACTGAGCGAGCGAGCGCCGACCTTGAGTATATATACAGCGCGACGGCGCATGCACTGTCAGCTGTCGAATGTTCGAGAAGGGGGAGAAGCGCAACGGCGCATGCGCGCGCGTCAGCTGCCGATGTTCTCGAAGCGCGACGGCGCATGCGCGCGCGTCAGCTGCCGATGTTCTCGAAGCGTGACGGCGCATGCGCGCTACATTATACAGCTAGCGAATGTTCGTGAAGAGGAGAAGCGCACGCGGTGTGTAGAGGAAGAAGGGTGCACAGATGGTGGAGGAGTGAAGCGCTCGCGGTGTGTAGAGGAGGAAGGGATGCACAGATGGTGGAAGAAGGAGGAGGAAGCTTGCGGACGGCCGGCGCCGCACTACAAGCCTCGAGTATTAAATACTCCGCATCTAAAACTACTGTAATGTAGAAGGACGTATTTTTATAAAAAGTGGTGAACGCTTTAGAGTACTTGGTACTCTACTATGGGAAAGCACGAAGCCGTCCCACAAAGGAAATTGCCTGAAACCTTCAGAAAGAAAAGCGTGAGACCGTTATAATTACTACGTTACTTCCACGACACCAGATGATATTACAGTCGAATTAAGTCATAGAGATTTACAATTGTGTCACTGGTTTTTGCATGAAACATTCGCTTGTCGCGACAAGTTTTTTTCAATGATTGTGACAACAGTTTCTAAGCCGAAGACACACTTTATTCGGGGAAGTCGAGTTTTTATTTTCCGATTCGCCTAGAATGACATTAGAAAGAACTTTCGCTTAGTATGAAAGCCAGTCGATACGCCTCTCTATACAGGTGGAGAACAAGCACGGCTTGTTGCCATCTGGAGAAGTTCACGGCAACCAAATGCTTGCCTGTCTGAAGTCCTTGCGATGGCTTCGGCTTTACATTCTTTCAGTATGATGCGAGGGATGGGTCAAACTCATGGATGTATATTCGAATAACATGAGTTCATGTAGTTTTCAACGTATTGTTTTCCATATTTTTAGTTTCACAGCCAGATCAGTACATGTGATTGTTTGGCACTCCAACGAAAATTGGACGATCGGCTACTCTCTATGCAGATGCTACTGGAACACCGTCCTCACCTTTCGTCGGCTCAGAAAGTAGTCAAAGCTGTCTTGTACTTTTTGAGGACTACAGGCCTACCTGACAACCTTTAACTTTTGTGTAGTGCCACCGCTGCATACGCGACAGCCGATTGACTGACAATCCTCTTTTTTTCTCTCTCTCTTTCTTTTCTTTTTCTCCTCTCTCTCATCTTTATGCCGCCTTCCCATTCCACCAGCGTAGGGTAGCAAACCGGGCATGTGCCTGGTTAACCTCCCTGCCTTCTCTCTTGTTGTTCATCCCATCCCCCCGACGAAAATTTCAGGCAGAGGTGATTCCTGGCAAATGCGATAAATAGACAGCATTTTCGCAAAAATGCGTCCTCTCATGCGTGCAATATTTGACCGCTGTTGTGAAGCAATATGCGATGAACCTCATAAATCCACTCGTCGCGAGCTCGTTCACGGTGCAATTTTATTAAACAAGGGCTCATGAAGTGTGAGGCCCACGCGACGACTTTATGCTCTCCCATAGTAGGGTACCTAGTACTCTAAGTCGTCACCCACTTAATCTAAACAAACGAAGTACAGGCGGTGTCACACTTGACTACAAAAACTAAGTGCGTGGCTGCGGACACCTTTGCCATTCGCAGTTACATAACCTCACGTTACCTACAAGCTTCCATTCATGCTTGGATTACAGCACGAGTACCTAGCTTGCAGTATGACTATGTCAGGTATCACTACAGCGTCGGTCTTTGCACTTCTCTGCAGATTATCGTGGCTGAAAAGGTCGACTGGGTGCTTTTAGCAAGTGGGATTCTGTCTGTGTAGAACGCAGCCAGTTGCGCTGCTGATTTCTAAATTTTCTGTACGCTGTGCTTGGTGTATTTTACACTCTTTGCAAGGGCAATAAAAGATGGTAGATAAAAGATGTAGCAAAGAGAGCGAGAGAGAGCAAAACGTTTATTTGATGGTCTGCGTGAGAACATCGGTAAATTGTACTCTGAAGGCGCTGCGTTAGAGATCCTCGATCCGTGCAAGGAATGCGAACGAGCACATCGAGGGACGTTAGATACGAGCGCTATCTGGTAGTTATCTTCGAAAACGAAGGAAGGCGAGCGCGCCTGTCGCGGAAGTGATAACATGTAGAACGCAAAGTGGCGGGCAGGTGCCACCACCATGTTGTCTTAGTGAGGGCCAAACCTCATAAGCGCGAAAATGCACGCGACAGCGACGAGCGACGTGACGTAGATCGGCTTCGCGCGATCAGTCGCTAGCGCAGGCAAACCTCATTCACGCGACGGCTTCGGCGAGCGAATTACACTGTTGCTGGCATGAGGTCGTCTACTCGCACAAAGAAAACCGCGTAGCGAGCGGTATGCAACTAAAAAATAAGACATATTGTTGTGTAATGAGACGGAAAGTGTTTATGAATGCCTTGCAGCCCTTTTTTATATGCACATGCGTAAACATTGCGTTATTTCTTGTTGCGCACACATGACTCGGGCAGGGTCACGTGCAGTGGATCCGTGGCGCATCGGCGAAGCAAAGCAACTATGTAGTCTTCGTCTTTTCCGGTTTTTCGCTATTGGCGGCTTGAGCCCGGCACTTCCGGGCGATGAGCGACGGTTTCCAAATCTGGAGAACCGAGCGATCGCGCGAAAACGAGCACGCGACACGTCGCGCGAACGCCCTGTTTCGTCGCTCATAGCGTCGCTCGTCGCTGTCGCGTGCATTTTTGCGCTTATGAGGTTTGCTCTTAAAGCGTCGGAAACATTTGTTTGTTTTTTTAGCATTATGTTGCATTGTGAGCGCAGCGTGATAAACGCAACGGTACTAAGAATTATTTATGCATGCCTTCCCCAGTATAAAGACACACATACAAAATATGGTGCCTCAGATATGTGCAATAATTGGTTTTTAATTTACAATCGCACAAGTATGAACGCTGAAACTTGAGCAAAATTAGTGGGCGGTACGGATGGGGTTGGCCGTTTTGAGTATCGTTTGAGGCCGTCTGGGGTATCGTTACGACGATGAAACAGACAAATGTACAAACAGACCAATATTTTTGCGTCGAAGTAACCCAAGAAAGTCTATCGTCTTTAAAAATGACAGCATATGCACGCGGTGAATGATGGAGAGTGGGGCGAAGCTGGGTCCGCACTGCCGTGTCACTTCGGCCTCCCGTTGTCGTACTGCAGGGTCCTCGCGACGCCGCCGCGCCGTTTCGGGCCGCTCTACGTGCTACCTACACAGCCGCATCGTTCGGCTTTGTATCTATCACCCACTGTAGAGACCACACCTTGAAAAGCATCGCACAGAAGGCTGCTTCGTATATTGCAATGCGAAATTTGAAGTCAAACTATATTCGAGGCATATGGCAGAACACCTCCTGTGCGTTGGACAGGAGTGCTACTGACGTTCTTACGGGCCACAGGCTTGAACGAAACGTTGTAAATAGTGCAGTGCGTGTGAGTGACCTTATGCGTTATGTGACTGTTATGCGTGTATGTAACTGTATGTGTTGTGTGTTTATCATTGTATATAACACTGTCATCACCCGGCAACTTGAGTAGCC